TGATCAATTTGGAATAAAAAATGTGGAACTGGATTGGTTTAAGTCCTATCTAACTAATAGAGAGCAAGCATGCATTGTCAACGGTGCAATGTCATCACCTAAAATGATTGTGTGCGGAGTTCCGCAGGGATCAATTCTTGGTCCCTTGCTGTTTTTATTATATATTAATGATTTACCCGAATGCCTCGAAAAAACTTTGCCACACCTATACGCTGATGATACTCAAATTTCTACTTCTGCTAAAACTATTGAGGAACTTACTGAAAATCTAAATAATGACCTGAAAAAAGTCGGTGAGTGGCTTGCTCGAAATAAACTGCAACACCACCCAACTAAGACCAAATTAATGTATATCGGTTCAAAGTATAATACTGATACTATGACTTATGATATTCCAGTAATGATGAATAACCAATTCATAACTCTTGCTCATTCATACACATGCCTTGGGGTTAAACTTGATGAAAACCTTAATTGGCATGAGCATGTTGAAATGATTTGTAAGAAAGTTGAGGCCGGCATAGGAGCAATGCAACGAATTAAGCCATATGTTCCTATAAATACCCTGCATACCATTTACAGAGCTTTGATAGAACCGTATTTTGATTATTGTAGTCCATTATGGGACGTCTGTAACCAACAGCTGAAAGATAAGCTTCAAAAGTTCCAAAACCGTGCAGCGAGAATTATAACCGGCGCCAGCTATGAAACAAGGTCTGCTGATGTTCTTCAATCCCTTGCTTGGGAAAATTTAGAGATAAGACAACGTACAACTAAATCCACATTAATGTATAAAGTCCTGAATGATTGCGCTGGGCCGAACTTGAAGGATACTCTAACGAGAAGGGACCTTGTTCAAACCAGTTATAATCTTCGCAATACTTATACTGACCTTACCCTTGCTAAGCCAAAACGAGAATTTTTAAAAAAAAGCTTTAAGTATAGCGGAGCTAAATTGTGGAATAGTCTTCCTTCTGATGCGAAGCTAGCGCAATCAATTTATTCTTTTAAAAACTGCCTGATAGTTTCACGCTAACATCTTCTAATATACTGTATATGCATGCTTTAGAAATATGGGTCACACCGTTTGGAACTTAATTCTTGTATTGTAAATAGTTGTATATAATTCTTTATTCTTTTCTATATCATATTTGTAATTTTTAACAGTAACAGACGTCCCTCGTGAAAATCAACAAATCGTTGACGAGGCTAACGTCTTTAAATAAAGTTTACATACATACATACATACATCGTTTATAACTATAGACGCATCCATACAAATATACCAAGCGCTCATTCAGCCTCATTTCGACTATTGCTGCACGGTATGGGATGGCCTTGGGGAAACACTCAGTACTAAATTACAAAAATTGCAAAACCGAGCAGCGAGAGTCATCATGAGATCAAGTTATGATACCGACGCAAGTGTATTATTAGATAGTCTGCGTTGGGATAACTTGTCATTAAGACGACAAAAACTTAAACTTGGTCTTATGTTTAAAACACTTAAGAGTAATGTTCCCAGTTATTTACAAGAATTCTTTTCCATTCGCGGAACTGGGTATAACCTAAGAAATTCTGAAATGAGGCTGAATTTGCCTAAGCCACGAACAAATTACTTAAAACGAAGCTTTTGTTATAGTGGTGCACTATTGTGGAATGGCCTTCCTCAAGAAATAAGAAAGCTTCAAACACAGACTAAATTTAAAAAAGCTGTTAATAAGTATTTCGACGAATAAACGAGCCCCCACACGGCAATCTTGTAAACCAGTATTAGTATTAGTTTATTGTCTTTCTTGTAACTACTGTAGATTTTACCGTGTTTAAATAAATTGTATAACAATAATAAAATAATAAATAATAATAATAACAACCAACCACAGGAAATATGACAGACTGATCAAACGCATTTACTCTTTTTTAAGATTCCGATGGTTCTGATGGTTATACCAAGGGCAACGGGCGTATAACAGCTACCAACAAGGTTTACACGCTGCCAAAACGCCGTATTCGATATGTTCGAATTTCACGGGAGGAACCAAGCACACAGCTCAGTGTGTGTGAAATAGCCGCTTATCAGAAGCCTTTTGGTAAGTTACATTAAAACCTATAGATCAAACGTGGATCTTTGACGACTCCGAAACAGAGTTCAATGTAAAGGTCGGCCACCGGCCATTGTCCGAACAAAATGCTGATATGGCCGTCTACTGATTGTGCTGCACGGACATTATGCCTTTTATTCTTGCAAACCTTTTTAACTAAATGTGTATTAAATCTTTTACACTGACGTACGAACGAAGATTCCGTCTTCTAGACAATCGCAGATTCTAACTACTCGGCATCTCACCCACTGATTATCAAAACAACTCGCGTCTATTAGTAATAACTGCTTGAATAACAAGAAATATTATGTCAGTCAAATGATTTAATTTGGATTCGAAACAATGAGACTGAGACTTGATTTCGGTCTTACGTTTCCAAACGAATGTTACCTCACCTGAGACACTCTTTTCTCTTCTAATATTATAAAAGAAAAGTGACAACAAAAAATGGTCAAATTACCAATCACCGTCTATAGCTGGAGTAAAAATGGTTCCACTGACCACGGAGCAACGAGTTTTTATCGTTAAATTATACGCAAACTCAAAGTACATGCATAATTAAAATTCGATATCAATTGACAATTCGCCTTTTCGACCCTAAAAACACGTGTAGCAACACGTGACCAAAAAATGTAAACAAATGCCAAAAGTTCGGACAAGCTTAATTGTTCGAACATACAATCAATTGTATGTTCGAACAAAAGCTTGTCCGAACTTTTGGCATTTGTTTACATTTTTGGTCACGTGTTGCTACACGTGTCTTTAGGGTGGAAAAGGCGAATTGTTATGTGTTTAATACGCACCCGTGGGTTCACCATACAGTGGCGGCGCCAGGCCTCCGAATTTGGGGGGCATTTGAGGGGCAAACTCATATTTTGGGGGGGCAAGATAGAATTTTTAATAAGTTCGCCCCCCCAGGAGATCCCCCCCCTCAAAAGGGGGGGGGGCAAATATCCTAGGAATATCGCCTCCCAGGGGGTGGGGCGAATACCCTAGGAATATCGCCCCTCTTTTAGGATATTCGCCGCCCATATATGCGATGTGGTTTATTCAAATAATTTCGTGATACTTTCATCTTATTAGTGCCTTACACGTTTGAGAATTTAACTCTGCAAAACTAAAGCTTTTTTGTCTTTTTTGAAACGTATTATTGGAGCATTGGCAAGTTTTACCATTCAGAGATTTACAAACTAATATTGAAAGTGTAAAAAACAGTTTCATGTATACGCGCATTCACTAATGAGTAATGACAACTTATAAGTATAATATAAGCCATACATTTTCCGATAACGACAAAACGCTTGTGTAGCCTTTAGTCGCTTTTAGTGACTAATAATTTTTTTTGAGGAGGGGCAAAATGGGGGGGTGGGGGGGGGGCAAAAAATAATTTCAAAAGTATAACAGTTGAACCATTTTTAATCGATCTGAGTCTGACGGCACTAATTTCTAAGTCGTTTTAAACTTTCAATTAGAATTTATGTACAATTTATGCAGCTTTAATATGCCCGTAAGCTAACAATGCATTCTAAACTCGCAGAGGTAATGAAGTTTGGGCGTTTACAACAAAACGGTAACTTCTAAAGGTCACTTTGTTTGACAAGGTGTCTAAAAAAAAAGTGACCCTTTACAAAACACCCTTTTAAACACCCAAACTTCGTTACCTCTGTCAGTATTGAATGCATGGTAATCGTACAAGCATATTAAAACCACATAAATTGTACATGAAAGTTTTGATTGAAAGTTAAAACGACTTAGAAATTACTACCACCAGCTTGATTAAAAATTGTTCAACTGACGACAGACCAAAAAGTTTTTACTGCTTTACGCGCTGCGCTAAATTAATTAATCAGCACATAATTCATATGTTGAACGATACCAAAAACTTTTCAATAACTTCGATTCAATTGTGTTTTTAATACGCACTCGTGGATTCAGTATACAGTATATAGGACTCAGCCTCAGGCATTCAAATTATAACAATAAGGTGAATTTCTAAAGAGGTCAGTTTAACCTTCTTTGAGACACGCTGTCTAGCGCCAAAATAAAAATCAACAACCTTTAAGTTTAATTATACATCAATTCTATTTCATGACAAAAACTCTATAGTCTAGACTATACTCTATCGTGTAAACGAGTTTAAAATTAAAAGAAACCACTTAAACGGTTTCAGCAGAATACCCTGTTGTCTGTTACGTATTTTTCTTCTCTTTTACATTCTTTATTCTTTCACAAATTTGGAAAATCGTAGTTTATAAACTTGCGAGTTGTGCCGCCATTTTGTTTATTTATATGTATACGGCTAATTAGTATTCTGTATAGCCGGTGAAGACTTTTCGCCCTTTGCCTTTGGGCTTCTCCTAATGCCGGATAGAAAGCAAGTTTTCTGTCACACATTTTTCTATATGCAAGTTTTATATTTGCCAAAGCCCGTGTGTTGGTGTGTACACCAAATGTTCTATGACAAATGCCTGTTAACGTTCGGTTTTCTGGCTGCCACAAACACAATAACTACAACAGTTACACAAGAACAATATATCGCTGTCTATAAATGCATCCAAGACCAATTAATGCTTCAAATTACTTTGTCATCTACAGACGAGCAGAATTGCCGATTTCCTCAATGATAAAGTACAGTTTTTAGTAATTATTAACAAACTGTTTTTGTTTACGTCGTATAAAGCTACATAAAAGAGTTATATACTAGTAATAATCTTAGATTAGTGAAGTGCGTTCGGTCACAGAGGTTCGGTGTAGAGTAGACGTTGTCCAAAATGTTATTATTGCATCATAGGGTAATTATCAAAAGTGGGCCGGATGCCATCATTTGGAAACAACTGATTTTTTATTGCATCTACTTCTCTTTACTGTTTTTCACAGGCTGGCATAAGCTATTTATTTCTGTTGTCACATTGTACATTAACTTTGTCTTCAATGTTATCACTGGAAGGGCCTACTGTAAATCAGGCGATATTATTTCATGTGTCCAAATATCATTTTCATACTCAACTGTCATATCAGATGGAACACTACCAATAGGGAGTGATTCTAAGGCAATGTTGATTGATAGTCACATTACCATAATGTAGATTATTTCTCAAAAGCCATAGCATTAATGCAAGTTGCACTTTTTCTTACTTCTGACCTTAACATCCTTAAATATGTTATCTTTACCCTTTATCTTAACTATAATAATAGACCCTGGGATGACTTAGCAAAACTGATGTAAGCTCTTCAACATGTTGCTCAAGGCAAATTAATGCAATGAACTGAATACCCCCATTTGCCTGCCTGGTTTATGATATAAACCCTAATTATAGGCGAGCTCGAGGTATGAGCATTTCTTCAGTTTGAGTTTATAGGCCTTGCAATTCAACTAAATAAAATTTTGTGCCCCTGGTGTTCAGGGTTTAAAATGGTTGCATTAGCATTTGGACTGGAATCAGTAATATGAATAGTGCAGCTTAAAGCATTTGCTCCTGCTTGAATAATGATACCATGTTCCAGGTTGTGACATTTCTTCAACATAATTTTCCCATAAAATATTTTCAATTTATTATACAGTATAGTAGAGAGTAAGATACAAAAAAATACACAGCGAGATATTTCCCATATCTTCACTAGTGAAGATACCTATATCTTCACTAGTGAAGATATCGATCACGTGACTTAGTATTTATGCATTTTTTTGCTTGGGACTATATAATAAACAGAACATTACACGGTGGCTTGAAGATACGACTTTTATCTTCTCGTGTTAAAAACAATATTTTACTCACTCGCTGCACTCGTTCGTAACTCGTTCATAAAATATTGTTTCCACCACTCAAAGATAAAAGTCATATCTTCATGCCGCCATGTAATATCCTCTATTTATAACTCAGGATTATGCATTAAATGTGTAATGCCTGCACTACGAATATCAAGATGGCAAATTAGGATTTTTATAAAGACCATGTCCTGAGGATGCAAAAAAGCAGTCACCAGGTGAACTTTCAGTTATATGGCACTATATTCACTATAAGCGAACAAAACATTCCAAGGCAAGTTGCTATTATTTGCTGAATACAAGCGGGATGGCCCGGTTGCCGATATCTCACTTGAAAGAGGTGAGATCTCGCATACCGGGATGGAAATTTCTCCATATAATACTCACAAGCAGGCTAGCCTGGTTCCAGGGATGAAAATTCAAAGATACCGCCACCACAGGCGGCCCAATCTCGCAAGGGTCAGTATAGACTTTATATGGTATGAATGTATATTATATTAATGTATATTATAGTAAAAATATGTCGTAAAATATAAATTTTAAAATGAAATTGACTTGCCTATTTGATAATGTGTGTTCTCCTTTTATTCCTCCTTTGTTGGACTAATATTTTCCAAGACTTTGTACTCGATGTTACTAGTATACATGAAACATGATAAAGGCTAACGATTCCCGATCGTCGATACGACGGCACAGCACTTCGAATCGAAAATTTTCTCACTCAAATCGCTTTATTCTCCAAACAAATTCGCCAGCATGTACAACAAATGCCGTTCTTCGAAAATACAGAGGTACTTCGGCGAGATGTACAAGTTTTGGACCATATTTTAACAATGGAAATCAAAACCCATTTTATATTGAACTTACCCGGACCGAAAATTACTACGGCGAACGTCTGCGCAACCAGGCCTCCTTTACCGTTGGATTTACAGGGGGGAAGCAGATATTTCCGGTAACAGCCAGCCAATCGCGGCCGCGATAGCGACTGTTTACATTATTTGAAATTTGATATTCAAAATAAAAACTCCTTCGATCGGATACTGTATAAAATTCGAGATGTTGTCGAAGAGAAGAAAACTAAACGACGAGATTGAAGAAATTTAAGGAAGAAGTAATATACAGCGGCTCTTTGTTGGAAAGCATGGTAGAATATGATACTTTAATTCGAAATATTATCGTTTATATATTAGTGGCATCCTCCCCCCTGTAAATCCAACGGTAAAGGAGGCCTGGTTGCGCGGACGTTCGCCGTAGTAATTTTCGGTCCGGGTAAGTTCAATATAAAATGGGTTTTGATTTCCATTGTTAAAATATGGTCCAAAACTTGTACATCTCGCCGAAATACCTCTGTATTTTCGAAGAACGGCATTTGTTGTACATGCTGGCGAGTTTTTTTTTGAGAATAAAGCGATTTGAGTGTGAGAATTTTCGATTCGAAGTGCCGTGCCGTCGTATCGACGATCGGGAATCGTTAGCCTTTATCATGTTTCATGTATACTAGTAACATCGAGTACAAAGTCTTGGAAAATATTAGTCCAACAAAGGAGGAATAAAAGGAGAACACACACTATCAAATAGGCAAGTCAATTTCATTTTAAAATTTATATTTTACGACATATTTTTACTGTTATATACATTAATATAATATACATTTATACTATAAGTCTATACTGACCCTTGCGAGATTGGGCCGCCTGTGCCGCCACAAGCTATTTCTAACAACTGTCAAAACAATTAAATTGTTAACACAAGAGAAATAGAAATTCATCCCGCTTACCAGGCTGTCTCACTAAGCGGGCCAACCCAGCTTCCATATAAACATAAAGGTTCCAACCGACTAATTTATAAAAGCATCAGAAATTTCATTGGTAGCGCGGGTCAAACATGGCAAGAAATGTTCATGAAAAATACAGCTGAATTCGTCAGTAAAACTTCGCTCTGCTTGTCTATGAATATTATGATTATTGATTAGG